TGTGATCGTATCCAATACCTATGATCATCTATCACACATCATACTAGTCTTATTATGTCGTTATTCCCATAACGACACAAGACTAGGGAGTTTAGTATTGTTCATAACAATACATAGATTTCATAACACATCTAGTATGGAAGAACATGTAATGAATCAAATACTCTCATAAAACATAGAAAGTATCAATACATCAAATGTATCTAAATAAAGCTCATAAACAGTACATCATAGAGCACTAAACCAACATTTAAGATGGCTAAATAAGATGATAAAAAATCTTTCCATTGTTCTAAATATTAATCTACCCCACATTCTAACTAATTCTATCACAGGATCAATCTATCAAGTTGAATATCTTCGACAATCCGTTCTATCCTTAGGATCTCCTAAGACAGTCTGCAAGATGTCTCAAGTCAATCTAATTCTAATGATTCAAGAATTTTTTTTACACACACAAATATATACATATACATAATATCCTGAAAGAAAATGACTATCGATGCATATGACTATCGAATCTCTCCCTCAGACTTGAACTGACCACCGGTTTGGTGTTAGCTCACCCTGTGGTTAAAAAACGATTTATTCGTGCAGGAAAGAATGGAGATGGGAAAAGACTTAGCTTGTTTTCGTGGAGCATCATTCTTGGCGTTATTCACTCGTTCTCGCCTGTGAGTGTAGTGTTGAGTTGTTCTTCTTTGTTGTTTCCATCTGAACTTAAGCAGAAAATTCATCCACACACAATATATACAAGAAATCTTAATAAGCAAACCACAATTTAAAAAGCAAACGGTAAAGGATATGTGATCGGGCTCCCTCCCGTCAAGGGCTCATTTAGGGTCGTGAGCTTGACCTTCTTCGTTCAGTTCTCGGATGGGTCGGAGAGAGTGAGTACACCTCTCTCGTTGGTCGGGAATGTCGGGTTGTATAGCTTGACTCTTTGGGCATTGACCTTAAATGACGTCTCGTCTCGTCCCCAAAGTTCAATCGCACCATGGTTCGAAACATCTTTCACAGTGTAGGGTCCGGACCAGCGGGATTTGAGTTTTCCTGGAAATAGACACAAACGTGAGTTGAAGACAAGGACTTGGTCGTTCACCTTGAATGACCGTCAGAGAATGTGATGGTCATGCCATTTCTTGGAGCGCTCCTTGTAAATCTTCGCATTCTCGTATGCGTCGAGGCGAATCTCATCAAGTGATGCAGCTGTAGAAGACGCTTCTCTGCTACTGATTTCAAATCGTAGTTCAGCGCCTTCACTGTCCAGAACGCCTTGTGCTCTAGTTCCACAGGTAGATGGCAAGATTTTCCGTAAACAAGCTGGAATGGTGTCATCCCGATGGGTGTTTTGAAGGTCGTTCTGTATGCCCAGATTGCATCATCCAACTTTTGGGACCAATCCTTCCGCGAGCGTGAGATTGTCTTCTCAAGTATGGTCTTGATTTCGCGGTTGGATATCTCGACTTGGCCGCTTGTCTGTGGGTGGTATGGAGTGGCTATGTGGTGTCTCACTCCGTACTTTTTCAGAAGTTGTTCAATGACCCGGTTGACAAAATGTGTTCCGCCATCGCTGATGAAAACTCGGGGTCACCAAATCTCGGAAAGATGATGCGCTTGAACATCCGAAACACTGTCTTTGAATCATTCGTCGAACTTGCCACAGCTTCAACCCACTTGGTGACGTAATCTACGGCGACCAAAATGTACGCATTTCCACAAGATGATGGAAATGGTCCCATAAAGTCGATTCCCCAAATATCGAAGGGTTCGACCTCGAGGATGTACTTCTGAGGCATCTCATGTCTACGGGAAATGTTTTCTGTCCTTTGGCAAGCATCGCAAGAGGAGACAAACTGATGTACATCTCTGAATAACGTGGACCAATAGAATCCGACCTGCAAAATCTTCGCAGCGGTCTTCGATGTAGCAAAATGCCCAGCGTAATCAGATGAATGACAATGGGCGATAACACTCTGAATCTCCTCTTCTGATAGACACCGTCTAAAAAACCCATCCTTCCCCCGTTTGAAGAGGAAAGGCTCGTCCCAATAGTAATCTCGAACATAATGAAGGAATTTCTTCCTTCCGTTGTAGTTTAGCTCTGGAGGAATCAGTCTGCTCACCAGTAATTCACAAAGTCTGCATACCACGGAGTCTCAGAGTGGACTGATATGGCCATGACATGCTCATCCCGTAATGAGTCATTGATAGGTAGTGGGCTCGGAACTGTGAGGCACGACAAGTGATCTGCTACACCATTCTGAGTTCCCTTCCTGTCCCTTATCTCGAGATCGAACTCTTGTAAGAGAAGAGTCCATCTGATAAGCCGAGGCTTGGCGTCTTTCTTGGACAGAAGGTACTAGAGAGCCGCGTGATCGGTGTAAACTATCACCTTCGATCCGACTAAGTAGGACCTAAACTTCTCGAAAGCAAAGACTATGGCCAACATCTCTTTCTCAGTGGTAGTGTAGTTGACTTGGGCATCATCGAGGGTGCGGCTAGCATAATAAATGGCGTGTAATAGTTTGTTCTTCCGCTAACCCAAAACGGCTCCCACAGCGTAGTCACTCGCATCGCACATGATCTCGAAGGGAAGATCCCAGTCCGGAGGCTGAATAATCGGCGGTGAAATCAAGGCCTTCTTCAATGTCTGAAACGAGATATCACATTCTATAGTGTATACGAATGGCACATCCTTGCAAAGCAGATTGGTGAGCGGCTTCGAGATTTTTGAGAAGTCCTTGATGAACCTTCTGTAAAACCCCGCATGGCCCAAGAAACTGCGGATAGCTTTGATATTATGCGGTGGTGGCAATTTCTCGATCACCTCGACCTTAGCCTTGTCAACCTCAATCCCCTTTTATGAGATCTTGTGGCCCAAAACAATCCCTTCTCGGACCATGAAATGGCACTTCTCCCAGTTGAGCACCGGATTCGCCTGTGAACACCTGTCTAACACTCGAGAAAGATTCATCAGACACATGTCGAAGGAGGGTCCATGAACAGAGAAATCGTCCATGGAAGTCTTGGGTTGAGAAGTCTTGGGTTGAGACACCTGTCTAACACTCGAGAAAGATTCATCAGACCACTTCTTGCAGCATCGGGTTGAGGCGTCGTTGATGCTCAATGGAAGTCTTGGATTCATCCTCCAGATGGATCCTATGCATGCAAAGGGAAGGGTTGATTCCCTTAATGTCCGCAATTGTGTACCCTATAACCTTCCTGTACTTTCGGAGCGTGTCCAGCAGCTCTTGTACGTGGGAATCATCCAAAGAAGAACTAACAATCACAGGGTAAGTTCGGTCTAAACCGAGAAATTCATACCTAAGCCCTTGTGGTAAGGGCTTGAGTTCCACTTCAGGTGCATCTTCTCGACTCCAATAGGGTCTAAGTGGAGAAGATGTGATGACTGGAGTCTCTTTGGATTCTTGGGTTCGGTTAGTAGAAGCGATCTCAAGATCGACGTCACCCTCAGAGGACAAGATAGCCTGAATCAGGGTCCTTGATAGATCCATCAGGGTATGTCGGGTGCATCCAGGATTCGGCTAAAGGTCCATATGTGTTCCTTATCATTTTTCTCCGGGTTTAGGAGCATCATCTTCAGGGGATCACGATCTTGCAACTGATCAAATACCTCCTCCGTCAAAACTTCGATCATGTTAATGAAGTGTGAAGACTCCATGACAGAGGGTTGCTTGAGGTTCTGATCAAGTGATAACTCATATTCTTCTCTATATTTTGATGAGAGTTTGTCTAGGTTTTACAGGATAATCACATGCATTCATAGGCATTCTAGGCGTGTTAGGACACAAAACCCGGTTGTGCTTTAGTTTTGCAGATTACAGATTTCGAAAGTGATTGGACTCGAAAAGAAGCTAATTGGAGCGTTAAAGGAGAAGTCCGGATGAGATACTCATGTTGTGACGTTAATATCTTTCTCCACAGAGGTCCAAATCGTGCGAAATCTATACCATTGGAAAGAGCACTTCAAGAGCTTCGCGTAGACACCATAAATCCGACACCGGAGCAGAAAGATATGAGCGAAATCGCGAAGACCAGAGAACTGCCAGTGTAGGGCCGGATCCAGTTGGATCCGGTCCGAATCAAGACAGCGGAGCACAAGCCCAGGAATCTGGATCCGGTCCAGATCCACCTGGAATCGGTCCGGATCCAGTCTAAAATCCTGTTTCGCGATTTTCAGCATTCTACCGGGAATAGGACTCTTGAGAGCCACCTTAGTGTTATGAAAAATCCCTAGCCACGTCCTAGAACATCAGAGACCCTTAGAGAACACCTAGATACAGATTTTTGGAGAGCTTTTGGAGAGAGAAGAATAGAAGTTCACGGGATTTCGGGAAGAAGAAGGAGGATTCGATCGTGGAGACTACACATCTGCATGAGACTTTCTTTCCTCTCTTTTATCTCTTTCTTTATGAGCTTTTTATTGTTTTCCATGAACCGTGAGTAGATCCACGACCATGGGTTAGGGATTCGTTTGTGTTTTGGGTATGTTTGAACCCTAACTTGGATTTCGGTTTTGATTTGTTTCGGTTCTATTGATTTGCACTTTTATTGGATTGATGTTTGCTAACCCCTTGATCAATTATCTTGGATTCTGAACCACATAGAGATATGGGTTTGTTTCGGATCAAAATCAATAGGATAGATCGTATTATTCACATAGAGATATAGCTTAATCGATTTAGGTTGATGATAGCGTTCTTTATGCACCTAGGGTTAACTTGAATAGATCGAGAGATTGACGAGTTACTCTGTAGGTAGGGAGTTAGTAGACCGAGAGGTGAATTCTCTATCATTGTTGCTTGATGATTCCCGAATACAAGTCATAATCATTATCCTCGCATGCTTAACATATACCCATACACGCGAATACGATCCCGACACCCATAGTCATCCTTGTTTGATAGGTCACTCGTTTTTATTTACTTTCTTATATTGCTTACCATTGATTCTACATATTTCCACCATCACTTGCTTGCTTGCTTTGATCTATTTTCGATCTAGATTTGGATTTAGCAACCGGTCCTCGTGTTCGACCCCGTGTTA